TTTTAACAGTTGATATTAAATTCAAACTTTAAAAGGACTGCAACGGGATGCAAGAATAGAAAGGGGCTCTCTATGTCGAGTAGTTAAAGACTAGTTTCTTTGTTATCGCTACATTGTGGAGTTTAATTTTTTATTTAAATGAAAACAAAAATATGTTACAAATTATTTGTTTTAACATAAAAAAATTAATAATGAATTAAAATAGTATCAGAAGGGTGTTCAAAACTTTGCCATGCTGAGTGGTTGGAGTTAGAGTGGAGGATGAAGTTGCCAGTTTCTTCCATGCTTGCTGATGTAACGCCTGCGTCGGAGGTGTTTGACATCCAGACTGTTCTGTCCCCGTCTATTAGGACTAGGTTGCCTGTGGTGTCCAGCTCCAGGAATGCGTTTTTGGTGACCAGAGAGTTTCTATATATTAGATTATCACGGAGCAAATTCAGAAATTGTCACCTGCAAGAGCTTCTGTGAAGACTAAAGAAGGAGAAATGTCTCTGATTTTTCTCCTTCTCTTTTTTCCCTTGTCAAGATTCAGTGCCATTAATGATCTATAACAGATTTTCATGGACTTTGCAACTTATAAATACTGATTTAATACATTAATAATACAGTGAAACTGTTAGGAATAATACAAGAGCAAACTCTTTTAAAGCATGCAGAAACCATACATATATATCGCCCATTTATCTTTCTTTTGTTTTCTGCTCATATAAATAACCAAGAACGTCAGACTTTTGCTTTCAAATTTTCTTGATAGATTATCTTATATAATTCTCGAAACTATACATCGATTTCCATTTAAACTTCCAAGTCTTCCCATCTAAAATCATCTTAACTTTTCTAATATGTCAAGTTCTCTTTAAAATAACAGCAATTAATTCATGAAATCAAAACTATACATGAAAATTATAATGAACATAGAACCTGACGAGGTTTGAAGAAAATCCCAAGGGATGCGATTGAGGATTTCTGATATATTAAGGATCCAATTGAAACAAATTATTTTAGGAATTAACTCAAATAAAAACAATGTATAGCGTTGGGACTTGTACAAGGTTCTCCTTTTTAAACAAAAACAAATTCTTAGACCATCAGGTATAAATATAAGCATAAGCAAGCGTACCTGTTAGCTGACCAGACCAAGGTTCGATCACCAGGAAGATCTACGAACCAGATTGCCACTTGGAATTTGTCACGAGCAGTAGCCGCTGAAGCGAAACCAAAGGCAAAAGTGCCATTATCTGAAACCCATGCTTCATTTTGATCACGAGCGACCAATCTTGAACCCAAACCAATGCAGCTAGCGCTAGCCCCAGGGCCGACTAAAACCAAGAGAAAAACGACCAAACAAGCAGCCATGTCAGCAGCTTAGCACTAGTTAGCAGGCTACTAGCGCAAAATGCTCACAACCTGAAAGGGCCAAAGCTTTAAAATAGAACAGTGGCCATGCATTGTTATTCATGAGAGTGAGAATGGATTGAAAGTTTTTTTTGTAGAGAACAGAAATTGGAACATCATACCACGTGTACAGCGGTTGGTGAACGACCCTTTGAAAAAAACATACTCAGGTCAAATGGTCGGCTGGAGCGATAACTTCGGGGGTTTGATGGCCGTGTATGGTAATCAATAGCGATATTGTGGTTTTCAAATGGCGATGACGCCCCTATTGCCTAATACGTGACACGTATTTTCAGCCATTTGCATGAGATTGAAATTATTCAGTTTCACACTATTAACTTGTGATTGTGGAGGTAGTGACATGGGCATATCGATAAGTTATTAAACTCGTACTAATATAGATTAATTTAGAAAGTTTAAGATTTTGAAGCTTACAAATATAAGTTTTGGATTTGATTTGATTTAAATGAATTTTAATAATTTAATTAATCCAGCTAAACATGATAGAATGTCTTATAAAAATAAAATAAAATAAAACGTAATTGTTTTAATAAAAATAATTAGTTTAAATCTATGTTGTTTTCTTTTAATCACTCCTCCAACCAGATCTAATTAAGGAAGAATAAAATAAAATAAAAATAATTGGTTTAAATCTATTGGGATGTGAATTACAATGAAAAGCTTAGGGATACTTAATTATCAAAATATAATTTGTTTTTAATATAGAGATAAATAGAAATTTGTGAAAAGATGTTCCATGAAAACATCTCAATGGTTAAGGCTTGGAACTTTTAACAGTTGATATTAAATTCAAACTTTAAAAGGACTGCAACGGGATGCAAGAATAGAAAGGGGCTCTCTATGTCGAGTAGTTAAAGACTAGTTTCTTTGTTATCGCTACATTGTGGAGTTTAATTTTTTATTTAAATGAAAACAAAAATATGTTACAAATTATTTGTTTTAACATAAAAAAATTAATAATGAATTAAAATTATGATATAATTGTACAATATATATTTTTTAATTTATTTTGATGATGATATATTAAATGATATTTTTTAAAAATATTAAGATGATGACATGATATGTCGAATCAACTTGGACCAACCCTAACTAATCTGTAAAATTTATGATTCAAATTATGAGAGTATAGTGATTTTATAAAAAGCAAATAAAAATAAATTAGAAAGCTTAATTTTCATTAACCAAGAATGTTAAAGGATAAAAATAAAAAAAATTAATTTAAAAAAATAGCTTATGTTAATTTGGATAAACCCATTAAACATGTAAATTGATTTTTGAGAATAAAATTATCCCATAAAAAATAATTTAAAAAAATCACCAAATTTATTTCCTAACAAACTAAATGTTGGAGCCTAAAATCTAAAAGAAAATAAATTTAAAAAATAAAGAAAGAGGAAAATTAAAGAAAAAAAGATAGTATTATAAGAGAGTATAATCCTATAAAAAAATTAATATAAATTATGAAGGTCAATTCCTAATCAATCCAACAAAATTAAAAAAAAATATTAAGTTAAAAAATAATTTAAGTCAATTCAGGTTAAGTTGTGAAACTTGTAACTTGAGTCATTAGATCAAAATAACTTAATAGAAAATATTTTAAAAATTATTACAAAACCTTACTTCTAATAAATATAATATTGGAAGACAAAATCAAGAAAAAAAAACTAATTTCATGAAAACTAATATATAATTTGATAGAAAAAATTGAAACAAGCATGAAACATAATTTTCATGACAACCTAACATGAAAGTATGAAATTGAAAAAAATTAAATAATTAAACAATAAAATTAAAAAAAATAAAAAAATCCTAAAATACTATTTAAATGATTTTTTTGTTGTGGCCTCAGAGATTTAGCTATCCAATTAATTTTTTTTTAAAATCATATCTTTTCCATTAAAAAAAGCATGAAAATTTAATAAATTACTAAATTTTCATAATTATTGTAATAATTTTAAAGAATATGTTTTTTTAAATATAAATTAAACTCATTAAATTTGACTCAACTCGTAACTTAATACAATGTCTAAATTATAAATTGAACAGTTAAACTGAATTAATTAAAAATAAGATAATTTTAAGATTTTTGTTAAAATGATATTATTATATTTTGATTTTGTTGATTATATCACAAGTTTACTCATCAAATTAACCGGATTAAAGTAAATCAATTCATGTTTGACTTTTTTTCTAAAACTCGCTCTAAACCAAAAATTAAATTAAGTGATCACCAAGTTAACTCGTATACAAGTGCGGGGTTCAAGAACACTTGGATGAACTATTCCTCTTCCATTAAAATACAGCTGCATACAAGAGAAGTTGTTTCTAATTATTATCCACTGCGGACGTTTGATAAATTTTCTTGCTTCCAGCTGTTACATTACATTAATTTTCTATCGTAACATCATATTGTTGGATGCAACGACGTTCCGCCATGGAAAGATTGAATTTCTCACTTGCAAACTAGAGCTTGGTCTAGCGGTGGAAGCGGTTTGTCTCCTTCCACTACACCTGGGTTCAAGCCCTAGCATGCACGCATGTTACTCCCGTGGTGCCTTACATGTTTATTGAGTTTGCAGGATATTCAGTGGACCGTAAGAATTAATCGTGGTGCGTGCAAGCTGGCCCGACAATCACTACTCAAACCAGATTTAATTAAGGAAGAATGAAAAATAAAAAAAATAATTGGTTTAAATCTATTTGGATGTGAATTACAATGAAAAGCTAAGGGATACTTAATTATCAAAATATAATGTGTTTTTAATATAGAGATAAATAGTTAATTTGATTTTGAAAGTTGTGAAAAGATGTTCCATGAAAACATCTCATTGGTTAAGACTTGGAATTTTTAACAGTTGATTTTAAATTCAAACTTTAAAAGGACTGCAACGGGACGCAGGAATAGAAAGGGGCTCTCTACGTCGAGTAGTTAAAGACTAGTTTCTCGGTTATCGCTACATTGTGAAGTTTAATTTTTTGTTTAAATGAAAAAAATATATAAATGTGTTACAAATTATTTGTTTTAACATAAAAAAAATTAATAATGAATTAAAATTATGATATAATTGTACAGTATATATTTTTAATTTATTTTAATGATAATATATTAAATGATATTTTTAAAAAATATTAAGATGATGACATGATATGTCAAATCTATTTAGACCGACTTTAATTAACCTGTAAAATTTATTACTCAAATTATAAGAGCATAATAATTTTATAAAAAATAAATAAAAATAAATTAGAAAGTTTAATTTTCATTAACCAAAAATATTAAAGAATAAAAATAAAAAAAAATTAATTTAAAAAAAATAGTTTATGTTAACTTGGGTAAACCCATTAAACATGTAAATTGAGTTTTGAGAATAAAATTATCCCATAAAAAGGCAATTTAAAAAAAAAATCACCAAATTTATTTTCTAACAAACTAAGTGTTGGAGGCTAAAATCTAAAAGAAAATGAATTTAAAAAATAAAAAAAAAAAAGAGGAAAATTAAAGAAAAAAATAGTATTATAAGATTGTGATAATCTTATAAAAAAAATTAATATAAATTATGAAGGTCAATTCTTAATCAATCCAACAAAACTAAAAAAAAAATATTAAATTAAAAAAATAACAAAAAATAATTTGAGTCAATTCAGGTAAAGTTGTGAAACTTATAACTTGAGTCATTATATTAGAATAACCTCATAGAAAATATTTTAAAAATTATTATGAAACCTTTCTTCTAATAAATCTAATATTGGAAGATGAAATCAAGAAAAAAAAACTAATTTCATGAGAATTAATATATAATTTCACAGAAAAAATAGAAACAAGCATGAAACATAATTTTAAGACAACCTAATATTAAAGGATAAAATTAAAAAAAGTAAAAAAATAAAATGATATAATTGAATAGTAAAATTAAAAAAATTCTAAAATATTATTTAAATAATTTTTTTGTTGTGGCTTCAGAGATTTAGGTATTCAATTAATTTTTTTTAAATCATATCTTTTTCATTAAAAAAGAAAAGCATGAAGATTTCATAAGTTACTAAATTTTCATAATTATTATAATGATTATAAAGAATATAAACATGAATTAAACTCATAAAATTTGGTTTAACTCGTAGTTTAACATAAGGTCTAAATTATAAATTGAACAGTTAAACTGAATTAATTAAAAATAAGATAATTTTAAGATTTTTGTTAAAATGATATTATTATATTTTGATTTTGTTGATTATATCACAAGTTTACTCATCAAATTAACCGGATTAAAGTAAATCAATTCATGTTTGACTTTTTTTCTAAAACTCGCTCTAAACCAAAAATTAAATTAAGTGATCACCAAGTTAACTCGTATACAAGTGCGGGGTTCAAGAACACTTGGATGAACTATTCCTCTTCCATTAAAATACAGCTGCATACAAGAGAAGTTGTTTCTAATTATTATCCACTGCGGACGTTTGATAAATTTTCTTGCTTCCAGCTGTTACATTACATTAATTTTCTATCGTAACATCATATTGTTGGATGCAACGACGTTCCGCCATGGAAAGATTGAATTTCTCACTTGCAAACTAGGGTTTGGTTTAGCGGTAGAAGAAACTTGTCTCATTTCACTACACCTGAGTTCAAGCCCTAGCGTATACGTCTGTTATCCTCGTGGTGCTTTATATGCCTACTGGATTTGCAGAATATTCAGTGGGCCGTGAGGATTAGTCGTGGTGCGCGCAAACTGGCCCGGACACTCCACGTAAATCAAAAAAAAAAATAGAATTTCTCACTCGAGGAAAAAAGGGCTCCAATGTCGACAGGAGCTGACCATAGAGCGCACCTGTGCGTAGCGACCAGTGAAGATAATTTAATCACCTCTTGAATTATGTGGGCGGTGCTGCGCTTTCATGGTCATCAGGGGCCATGTATTGATGATCCTCTTTAATTAGGGTGGCACCAGTCTACATAGCCATGCTACGCTACGTTCGAAATAAAAAGAAGATTTAACATATTTTTTTTATAAAAAATTATTTAATATTATTTCCG